ACCCGCGTCTTTTAGCATCGAAATTGCGTAAACATGGCCCGCTTAAGCCCAAACATGGCCCGTTTAAGCACAAAGCCGCGTCTTTGAGCATCGAAATTGCGTAAGGATGGCCCGCTTAAGCACAATGTCGAGTCTTTGTAGACATGGTCCGCTTAAGGCCCAAACCTGCGTCTTTGAGCGCCGAAATTGCGTAAACATGGCCCGCTTAAGCCCAAAACCCCGTCTTTGAGCATGAAAAGTGCCGCCCGCTTTGACCAGCAAAAGATAGCGCAAACAAAGTTCAACATCAAAACTAGTTAAATATCAAGGGGTCAAATGCTCATGATGTTGTTTTTCTACATGGCCCGTGGCGCGGCGTGCTTGGAGTGGGAGAGTTGGATTTGTCATGCTTTCCTTGACAGGATTGTGCCAATGTAAAGGTTGAAAGGTTCCCTGATTTAGACTCAATGACATCTGACTAAATTTTACATTTCTACCTTTGCGCCTGCGTTCTGCGTGCAACCCTGTACTAGTAGCTTCTAGCTACTAGTAGTAATGCCCTTGTTACTAGTAACGATGCCCTTGTTACACTTGTTACCAGACATTTTCCATTTATTCCAGTGCTTACCGTAGGCTACTAGCTAGTCAAAGGCTGAGTGCAAGAAGTGCAGTGCTCACTTACGAAGAAGTGTTGTCTTTGACCAAAGCAAGGGAACATGAGGGAACCCTAAAAAACATCCCGCAAGAACCCATGCAAGAACCACCTTGCAGCCTTGTAATCTTGTTGTATCATGTTCTATCCTTGGTGTTGCAAAGCTCCTCCTTGATGTTGTTTCGCGTCTCAAGACCCAGATCTTGATGAACATCATACGAACTCTGCGTCTCAAGACGTCGCGGTTGCAGAGAATTTGCCGAACCCCGAGTGTCCTCGCCCCGAGTGTCCGCGCACGGTGCACTCCTTCCGTACGAAACGACCACCAGTGATCACCTGCTTTGGAGGTCAACCTTTAATAGTGGTTCCCAAATAGATAGAATAGATAGATAGAAACGTTTTCCAACATATATACTTATCTATTATACATCGTCCATGTCCTGCAATACATTTTGAACATGACTTTACTTTACTTATCTATTTGGGGGTCTATATACATCGTTTCGAGATCGAACGGCCCAGCTGGAGCGCGCAAGTTTGAGCGCGTGCTGCTGGGAGATTTCCACCGTGTGGCTCGCGATTCCCAGCGACGTTTGACTGGGAGAAGGGCAGCGAAGCACAGCGGGACTGGGCTCTGCTTGCGCTGGCTGATGCCCTACTTGTTGTTATGAAGGACATCTATGCCAGCGTCCAACGGGCGAGACCTCTTAGGGCCCAAGAACCTACAGGAGACCTGTTGAAGGATGCTCGAAGACACTCCACCGAGACACTCCACAGGCCTGGAAGAGATTCTGCCCCATTGGTCCCCTTCTTCCTTAAGCACCCCCTTGGTTTTTGCTGGAAGTGATGATTAGTTTTCCCTATGGTTGAATCCCCTTCCGGGGAATAGTCTTTGTTGTTTCTGGGTTCCTGAAGCAAATCCAAGACCCCAATGTATGTCAATTAGCCAGTCGCAACCATCGTCAGGTGACGCCATTGAGGGATCCCAGTTGTCTCGGGGTCGGTCTCTGTGACACTCGTCATCCGATTGGAGTCCTGACCTCGTTAGGAGTTTGTTCTGTTCATTTTCGCAATATAGGAAGACCCAGCGCACCCGTCCGTTCATTAAGAGTTGGGTACCAAACGGGCTGAACAGACCCAGGGGAGACCCAGAGAGGTTTGGAACAGACCCAGCACCCGGTGGGAGTTCTTGGTAGTCCTGGTAGTCCTAACTCCCAACTGCAGTTGAATGTCTTTACGTGCATGTAGCGTTTGGGGATGGCACAACATTTGAGAGCCATGCCGTAACTGATGTTCGACATCCGTGATGTTTGTTGGTGGTTCGGCATCCGTCCTTCGCATAGTGAGCCACAGTCTTGATTTGTGCGCCAACAGTTTCACGATGCCCATTGGCAGAATTGGCTGAACCGCCAGGTGATGTCCGACAGGACCTGGGAGCCAAGAAGAGTTGAACATCGAATGGCAGCTGTCCATCACTTACACTTCCGAACCGTTCCCCCTGAAGTGTTCGGTTCGGAGGGAGGCTGCAAGGGCCAAGGCTCTAGGATTTGGAGGCACCACCTGCAGTTCCGCCACGTGCTGAGCTAGCGATGAGAGGCCCAGCCATTCCAGTCACCACTTTGGTAAGTGCCGGCTTAGCTTAGGTCTGAACTGCCAGGTGACCATAGGTGACCTACCAATGTGGTCGCTGGGATTCCTAGGGATTCTTTGGGTGACGACTGTCTGTAGACCTGGACCTTCGAATGAAAGTGCCACCGGCTTGACGCTGATTGAAGAATAAGAACCACATGATGACCATATCCGTGCCCTTTCGAATGGACCAATCTGGGAGAAACGACCAGTAGTTGCCTATACTGTTTGCCTGCTTCACCGTCTCGGCTGGTCACCCGAATGATCGGTCCATCGATTCTTTTTTGACCGTCAGGTCATTCAGAGCCCTCAAAAGCGAGCGTCAGAGCACACCGGTGACCATGCTGGGCGCGCCGGTGTGTGGGTGAGCGAGCGAGACAGCGGCTGCGTCTCTGTTTTTTTTTTCGTTTTCTTTTTTTCTGCGAGTGCCTTTGGTTGATCAGGTGGACTTGTGAAAAGTGATGTCAATAGACTTGCTTAAAAGGTTCCGCCTAGTCACAAGAGACGACGGGAACCCTTTGCAGACTGGAGTGACTAACATGAACCTTGAAGAGACGTGTGGACCCCAAGCTTTATTTATGTGTTGTCAGGGTGATGGGTCCATGTGCTACCAGGGAATACCTTGGGCACTTCGGTGTCACCAGAAGTCCTTTGGGTGTCACCACGGCTGGGAAGGGTTGGGATGGCCATCGGATTCACTGGCTTTCACGTGGAAAGCTATTTCATGTGTTTTTGAGTCTTGGAATCTATTTTATGCGATTTCATGTGTTATTGATCTTCCTTTTTGTTGATCACCAGTTCTCAACGGCCCTTAGAATAGAAGGATAGGAGGCGTGTCACTGATAGTTTCAGGCGCCATGTCCTTGTATGTTGCAGATCCAACTGAAGGCTTGTCAAAACTTCCACAAATGAGTGAGTTTCTTGGTGACAAGAAGGAACAGATGTTTGGTACTCTTTATGCATTATATACGCGAAACGGATTCTGCGCCTTGTCCCCACACGTTCATTCGTCGCTTCACGATACCTGTGGGTATTTGCGGGCTCACATGGATCAGATGTGGAGCTCGGTGCAATAAGAGCACAACAATACCAGGGCCCCTGGTTTGGGGTGTCTAATCAGGTGATTCGGGGGTTTGGGGCTCTGGTATTGACCCTTACTTTGCTTTTTTGGTAAATCAAGATCCGATGTTTGCCATGTTTGGCCACTTGATCCACCAAAGAAGGGCCATACCTGCAAGCAGCTTCTCGAAGGGCCAGACCCTCCATGGGGCGCAGCTTCAGCTGCGCCCCAGGGTCCTCAAGCTCTGCCATTTGCGCCGAAACGACGTGTCTGCTTGGCTCCAGCTCTGCAGACGGAAGGCGCGCGGAGCCATCCCGTGACGCGTCGCCATCCGTCCCGCCCGATTCTTCGAGCGCGTCTGGGCTCGGTGGCCCTTGTACCTTGGTGTCTTGGCTCCGGAAAGGTTCTTTTTGCAAAGTAATTGGACACATCTGGAAGAGTTTAAGAAGGGGCGGCAAGTATGCATACATGTATACCACAGTTGGTGATGTGCGGTTGACTGATTGCGCCGGCAACGCATTCTCAAAAAAGCATAGCTGCCATAGCACAACTCCAAACGGGCGAGACAGACCCCTTGGAAAGTGCATCAGAGCTTAGACCTCTGCTTCTGAAGGTGGACGGAACCGTCAGCAGATCCTCCAAATCTGACACTTCCGAAAGCCACAGAGCCAAACGGTCGCAGTTCCAAAAGTTGGGGGGATCAGAAGAAATGTAGGCAGTGGTTTTTCAGGGTCCGCATCTCCGGCTTTTATTTCTCCAATTCGGTGTCACGCACTATTCGACTCATCTTCACCAATCTCAGGCACTTCATGGAACTGGCATGGCTGTGGGTCCAAACCGGGCCACCGCGTTGGACCGGCCGTTGGAGTCGTCTCGCACCGATCGCACCGATCGCAGGTCGGGATCGCACTGCTGTCGCCTGCTCTCTCCAGATCCGGTGATGCAATATAATGCCTTGGACCTACTGGGCGACTTGGATCGACATGTGGTGCTGCCTGGGTGACAAAACATGTGCTCATTGCCTGGGTGACACCTGAGTTGCGTGGATATAAGAAGGCATCTACTGTAAATGGGGGAAGTCATGGATTCTGCTTGTTGGCTGATTGCTATACTCTGTTATTTCTGTGGAGCATGTCCAGTCACAAGTCTCTTTCGATGATCGTTTGCCCGCTCCTGCCGCGTTTATTTGAAGCAAAATGGTGGGCTGGCAAAGTTTATCACTGAATCAACGTTCATCCGCAGGTGTTCGTAGCTACGGCCATAAGGCTATACATACTACGAAATCTACGAATTCCAAGGTCGACGTTTCTTATCTTTTCTTTGCTTTGGAAAGGGGAGTTCGGGGGCCCATGGCTCCAAACAGTAGCTTATAGTCAGATATAGTCAGCATGTATAATATAGTTCACCATCCTCCAAATCGGCTGTTTCGATCACACTGCTCTAACCCCCCATCGACTGCCCACCAAATCGAAAGCAACAGGACGACCGGTCGAAATCGCATGACATCGCGCGCGGCACGTCGCGCCCAGGAGAGCGGTTGTTGACCGCTGTCCCGCCCAGTGCTTCTGCTGCTGGAATGGAAGGGAGCATGTGGGCGGTTGAAATGGGTTGGAGGCATCGACCTGATTCCAAGAGGTCTTGGGGAAGGGCAAAGCCGGCGAAGCCCTCAAATATTTAAGCCCTCTAGAATATAGACGATGCTGCATCGGAGCAAAGTTCACTTGACTGTATATACTCAAAAGACTCGAAGCGTTGGCTGGGGGAGTCTGCAAAAAACGCTGCCTGGAGTCTAGACAAACTGGTTTTTGTTTTAAGAAGCCTTGTTGGTGACTCTGAGACCTTTGCCTCTTTTTGAATCTTTTTGATGAACCCACGGAATTCGGAAGTGGATGGTATGGTCCCTGGTACGAGAGGTGGCTGAGTGTTCAGGTTGCAAGTGATGCCGATGGATTTTCTCAGCGCAACGGAACCTGAGGTTGTCCTGGACAACGCGAAGTTTGGCATGATGGTGCTGGTGATTCTGACGCAATCCCTGACACCTAATCTACCTAGTGACTTGACATGACAGGAAGGAAGGTGCTCGTATTGTCGAAACTTCCCCTGGCAGTCGTGTTTCAAGACACCGCCTACCATTCAGGGTCAGTAATTCATATATTATCAGGAATTACCTACTATGCCTCAGAAACAAAGATTGATCACATATTGATAACCATAAAAAATCGTGTTCAGTTATATAAGTATCAACCAAATCCATCAAGTCACCTGCTGATGTTGAGGCTTTCTCAGATGGAAAGACCACCATTAAGAAACCCCAACAACACCGGTACATCCCACGTCGTCATTTCAAGGAACGGCCCCCCCCCGACAGTCGTTCCTTGTCACGTGTGGAGAATCCAAACCGGTCTGAATCATTTGGCCATCAGCGGAATCATCATGAATCAAAAAGAACTGGGGGGGGCTTTCCACAGGGATTTTGATCGAAAGGCGATCGCATTTCACGGACTCCTGTTTCTGTCTCGTCCGGAAAAGGCCCAACTATATAGAAGGATTTGGGTTTTCTCTGAAGAACTTGGGAAGGTGAAATTGAACCGAAGGACATTGGCATTGGGAGGCTTTAGACTACAAGGCTGGGTGTAGCTTTCTTCTAAACTGGTATGGAAAATGGTATGAGGAGGCAAACTGGTATGAGGCAAACTGGGCCTGGAGGTCTTGGGAAAAGGATGGAAAAGGCTAAGGAGATGGAGAGTGTGGAGTCCAAAAGGAGATACGTGTCTGAAACACTCATCGGCAGGCTTAGATCACGTGAAGGTGTTCTGTTAAGAACCTATTTTTGAAGCCACCGGTCGACAAAAGCAAAGCACGTTCTTTGTAGGTGATCGTTTTTGTTTTAAGACTTTTTGTTTCTTTTGGTTTGTTTTCTATTAATGTTGCGCCACAGAGAAGCAGACCACCCACTCCCTGCCGGGCATTGCAGGTTACTTGCGTGTCCTGTCCTTGATCAACCCATTCCAGACGCGAACCTTTGCCTTTATCTCGGGATTCGACTCTTGTTTGCAGGATCAGGGGATCAGGTTTGTGAATGACGCACAACATTAAACCATTATCTGACTAAGCTTTGCTTGATCATGTTTGATACACCAATACATGTATCCAGGATTTGTCAGTAATTAAGCTGTGTGCAAATGTGTGTCATATGGGTCATACGATGTTATGCCTCTAGGTATATGCATAAGACATGCATTCCACTGCCCCGCTTGACATGTTCAGTCTGGACAGACTGCCCAGACTGCGAAGAGTTGTCCTGAAGGTCAGTAAAGACAAATGGGATCGCGCCCGATGAGGTCAGCAAAAAATCTGCAAACTGGTACGAGGCAATGCATGCCTCCCGCAACACACTCCTGCAGATCCTTCTCTTTGCTCTCTTCATCGAACCCATCTATGCCTTGGCTGCGGGACAGGTTTGGACGCTCTCAGGCGGGGATGGCACCCCTCACAAGCAAGCTTGTGCAGACCTTGACAGCGTTAATTTCGCAGACACGAGCAATGAATGGCAGTGTGAAGTAAGAGGGGTAGAAAGAACTGAAGGGTAGTGAAATACTTTTTAGAACCACCGACTAAAGCCCGTTTGAGACAAGGGGTAGTTGAGTGTTTCTTTGTTGGTCTGTGGGCCTCCCCCAGTACGGCCATACCAAGCGGCGGGTGGGGGTTCAAAAGAAGCACATAAAGGAAACCAAACAGATCAGCAGGAAAGACACAAGTGCATCCAAAACACTAGCGATGCGCAGTTTTGCTATTCAAAAAGGACAGACTGGGATCAACATGTAACGAAGAAAGTCAAAACAAATCAAGCAGTAGTGTGCGCTGTGGCAGTGGAACAAAGGTAGGAGTTGAAGAAGAAAAATATCAGACACAATTCAAACAGTTATATAGTTATAATAGTAGTGGGAGAGTTGGGTGAGCAAAAATCGGTCGAAGTGAAAGAGACAACCATCCATGTATGGCCTATTAACCTACATTGGGGTGGTTTCAGGGGTCAATATATGCCATACATGGATAGCCTGGAGTTGTGGAACCTTCCTTTTCTTTAGAAGGCCCTTAGTGTCATGTTCAGCCTCGGTCGCCAGCCTTCTCGGCCCCCCCAAACGACACCCGCGACGGAAGGATACTTGTGGGAGGTCTACCAGATGCTGGTGTTCCCAGGACAGAATGTGCAGTGGAGCCTCGGTCGCGTTTGACAGCAAACTCTGCTTGCTCTTTTGTGGTTTACAGGTGGGTGCAGGTGACTGAAGGAAGCATCAAGTGCGCCAAACACACGTGAACAGCGAAACGTATGTGTGGCGAACGGACCAGCGATGCGCTGGAAGAAGTTTGTGTGGCTGGGAACATCCAACAAATCCACCGAATGGAGACCGTTGATCAGCTTGAACCCCCGTACTACATATGAGTACTGTACTACAGTACTGGGTGAAGGAAAAAGAAGTAGAAGTAGTAGTAGTGGTGGTGGTAGTAGTAGTGGCTGCAATACTGTGCCAGAATGGTTCTGCATCTCCAGCCCGGGGTTTTGTTCATCAACCGCCGACTCCATACGATGGTGAATCGGAAGGTCCCCATGCTCGAGTTTGCACAGGTCTTTCGGACATGGTGAGACATCGCGACTGTATGTGGGGGGATATGAACTGTGCCCAAGACAAACAAATTGTCTCTCCAAATGGACTTCAGCCCAGGGCTCATCTAGAATCCCAATCATCTCTTTCACCCTCTACCCTATTGACTTCTAGTCACTAGTCCCATTCCATTCCGATCCTTCTTCTAGCCGACATTGCCCAATTCACACGTGTCGAGGTATCTCTACGGCCTCGTCTATTGGCGTTGTCAGGCCAATCAGATGGTGCTTGGCACGCCGTGGCGAACACGGCTTCTGCAAGCACTGGTGATCTCAGCGATCGGCAGGGTGACTTGGTCAGGAGGGCCTCTTTCGGTTTCTAGGACCATCCACGAGCATCTACCTTCAGGGCCAAAGATCATGCCTTAGGAGTGCTTGGAACCCGAAACCCATCCTCAAAGGACCCAGGCTGCACCTCCGAGGTAGTCGGAGTGGTCTCCAGAGATTCCCATGATTCTGCCCTGCCAAAGAGGTCTTCAGGCCGACGAACCCAGACAAGATTGGAGTCCTTTTCATCAGTAGATGGGTCTTTGGAGCTTGTAAAGATGCATGGGACAGAGACTCCGGGTCAGTCTGCATGCATCATTCGCGCGTTTGCACTACGCGCATTCGCGCGAATTCAGCCGCCCAGGTCTCATACCTCAAGTTCTTGAGTCTCGGAGAAGTCCTCGGGTGCCTGGGAACAGATCTCAGACAGAGCCCAGAGCTTTTGGTTTGAGGAGGGATCCATTTGGGAGGAGCACATGATGCACATGGCGCCAGCCATTAGGGATCATTAGGGTGGAGAGCGACAGGGTGCCAAGGAAAGGGATGGCAAATTGCTTTCGGCCATAGGGCCATGGTTCTCTATGTTCTCAGAAATGCTTCATTTTGCCCATCAAAGTGCCGCTTATCAAGGACAACACCACTGGGCATCACGGGCATCCCAGACACCCCAGACACCGACCGCTCCACCCCGATGCTCCGAACTCGATGCTCCGAACTCGCCTGGTTCCGCTCTCGTTCCGTCTCATGCCCACCTGCGTTGATCTATTAGATTCTAATATCACAGTCACCATCTAAGTATCAATTAATGTTACAAAACTGAAACATCATAAAACATGATGCATCTTTCTACGAGAGCGGTTCATCATGGTTCATCCAGGATTGTGATTTGGAGTCTATCCTGTTCCCTGGAACAACGATGCTTTGGACGACAGGACGCCTCCCCAATGGTATAAATGTCCCAAGCGCACAATGAGACCTCCACAACGGTACGACGGTAATTACCCCCAAAATGAAACAGAAAAAGCTAGACATTTGTACGATTTTGTACGTGCAGAAGTCTTGTGCAGGTCCTGTGTAGGTTTGCTCATTGAGGTGATCCAGGAATTCCTGTAAACGTTATCCAGAGGAGTGCACTAACATTGTAAAACAATCCCGCCTTAAAGTAGTATGATGTGCAGAACCGCCCTGAAACAATACGAGGCTTCCTAACTTTGATTGAGTCCACCCTCCACATCATGTTTTTGCACCCAAGTATCATGTTTTTTTGATATATTATACAGTAAAGTAAATATACACGCATTGTTTCATATACTGTGTATATATATATATGTTACATGTTTCCATACTGTAATTGATTGTAATGTATTTTATATCTCGTCAGACCCTGGTACATCCATGTACCGGTCCCTGTCCGTCGACCACACCGGAGACCTCCCGTCCCCAGACGGGACAGGTGCTCCGCCTCCCCCGCTGTCGACCGGTCAGGTCTTGGCCTTTCTTCGTGGCAGGGCAGATCTGTCGCGAGGAGCCACTGAGATGGCAGCGGGACCATGAGATGGGAAGTTGGTGAAAGCCGGGTGTGTGTTGGGTGGCTTTTTGGATGAACGGAGTTGGGAAGCTGAATCCACGGAAGCAATCTCCAGTTGAAGCAATCTCCACTGCAGCACCGAAGCTCGGGGACCCGATTTGGATGACAAAGCGTGCTGTGAGATCTTCCAGGTGATACAGGACAACCAACCGACATGCTGAGAGCAAGCCGACGAGCTGATGAGCCTCTTCATACATACCAATACATACCAATACCACGTAGTACCACCAACCCAAAATTCCTGCGAAAAGGAACCGCTTATAGCTCACTTCACACAGAAATCATGAAGATGACGAGTCTCTCCGAGGTGACCAGACAAGAACATACCAGAATATACGGGTTGAGAAGCGCACCCCTTTTTGACCCACACCCATGTGGTCAATGGTATACTTAGTAGCCCGAGGTTGAGTAGTGGTGGCTGGGCTGGGTTGATTGCGCTGGTCCTACTAGTCCACGGATTTCCAGGCAAATTCGTAGATGTTAGTTGAATCCAAGGATTCATAACAAGTTTAAGACAAGCTTAAGATCTTTCAGCGTATAAGTATGTATTTGTGGCAGATCATACAGGCCGTTCCAGCTGCCCATCGTGCCATGTTTGGGTGCACCTTTCCACCCCAAGGTGGTCCACGTGGGAAGAGCTTTTCTCTGAAAGGATGGAAGAGTCCCGCATGTGGAAGAGTGGCTTCTTGTCTTTTCGCATCTTGGCGTAGGAATATTTGATAGCTGAAGGCATGACTGTGATGATGAATAGTACGTAGGTGGAGTAGACCCCATACCTGTATTACAGATATTACAGCGTATCATAGGTGCAGGTTGCGGGGTGGTGCAGTGCACCTTGCATCCAGACCAGTTTAATGCATTTGGATTCTGATGAGATCAAGAAATTCTTCATCATGATCATGGTGGAAAGGCGTTCCGCATGACGAGGGCCCTCAAGGATCACTATCACAGACTTGGTCAGACTCTGATTCCATGAGGCTGTTTGGCCTAGGAAAAGCCATTCACTTTTACATCTCTGTGCAGGCCTCCGATCCAGTCCAATCCAGCAACACCCGGAGGAGAATGTCTTTCCCCCCAGACGGACAGATGCCGTTGGGTTTGCCTCGAGATGGCGTGACCTGTAAAGACACCCACGGTCACTTACTGCCAATAGCATGGGAGACCCGAAGGGTGCGGCTGCAGTCTGGAGATTTTTGTTGGGTGATTGATGATGTGATTGGATGATTGGATGTGTTATATTTGATTCAGATTCCATGGTTTGGCGTACACTATACTGCACACTATACCGCACACGTATGGCATTCGTGCCATCTACTTGTACAGTTGTTTGTCACGAGTGGTCGTCACAGTTTACTCCTTTTGTGCTGTGCGCTGTGCCCATCTTTTGTTCATCATGGTGTTCTTGGCTTCCTTGCAGGTTTGGGGACCAACACCCTTCGCTTCGTGGCCTCTTCGCTTGTTTCTTCCCAAACCGATGGTCCAGGTCCTTTGCAGTGGACGATCGCGATGATGGTGTTCTTGTACCTGCAGCTCGGATCGATGGGAACGTGAAGATTCAAACAGAAGCTGCACCAGAAAGATAAGCAGGGTGGATGCGACATGTTCTCAGCTGCTACTCGTCACACGCGTGCCACTCGTCACACGTGTGCTGGCATGCCAATCATGGTGACCCTTCAAACCGGTACGGTGACCCTTCAACACGGGATGAATCATGCATTGGGGTGCCAGATAGGATGGATCTTTTGAAGGTCTGGGCGATGTTGTGTGCATCCACAAAACCTGCGGATGCATTTTTTAGGGCCTGTAGAACGCATCAGCCAAGCTGCGTGCTGGCACGCAGTGGGCACGCGCGTGCGCGGCGCATGCAGCTGCAGCTGCAGCTGCGGACATGTTACTGTAGAAGCCGTCTACGGAGGACATTTTGGCATAAGTTTAGTTACGAGAAAGAACTGCTCTTGTTAATTTTTTCGTATGAGCTACGGTCAAATCATGCGAAGACCACTTTAGTAAAGAGGGATAGGTTTTTGCACAAAACCCAACAAAACGATAAGGTGCACTTCAAACCGATAACCCCAGCCCCCAGCGCTGTATATGATCCTAAGTATGCGGCGACTTCAAAACACGGTAAAACGATGGGTTAAACAGTTAAACTGATGACGTCCTTTTTGGAGTTTTGACCGTCCCTCAGATGTTTTCACTGCCTATCTTAAAGGAATTCTGGGAGGTGGGCGAAACATGGGCAGAATCGGACTTTGCTCCACCTCCCTTCCCCCCTCAGTAACAAGTGCCACGCTAGTAGTAACAGGTGCCTTACTAGTAGTAACAAGGTTCGCTATTAGAAACAAGAAACTCTAGGCATCAAAATTGCTTCTCGGATTAGAAACACTGCTACAGGTCAAAACCTCTAGATCTCGCCCGTCGACGCTTCGCATCCGTCGACAGGCATGGGCTGACGTGCAGCCTGGGAGGACTACGCCGATGCCCCACGTTGTCCTCCAGCCCCTGGACCATCCAGGAGCCCTGGATGGTGCAGTGTGGCTGCGAACTGTTGGAGAATCCATCACTGGAAGATCCATCACTGGGTTGGTGTGAGTTGGTCAATGGTGTGAGTTGAGAGGATTACATAAATATATTGATACTGTAAGAATGGGACAGCTGAACTTGTCGATGGTGACTGGGCTGACGATTAGGTTTGTGGTTGTTGCTCCACTTGTTGATGTGGCAAATGTTGAACATCAGAGGCAGGAGAGCGGGGGACGACAAGGTTTACGCAGGTCCATGCCACGACAAGGTTTAAGCAGAGAAATCGAGGGCGAAGCTTTTGTTGCCTGTTGCCTTAATTGCCGGAATCAGCACATGGGAATTCCAAAGATCGTAATGATACCGTAGTCGCGTTGATTTTCCTTTTG